AGCGCCGTGCCGTGCCGTTCCCAGGCACGCGGGTGTACGTCCGGCTGGAGCCGCGGCACCGGGGCCGCGTGGCCGGGCTCTGCGGCAACTTCGACGGCGACGCCGAGAACGATTTCACCAGCCGCCAAGGGGTCCTGGAGCCCACCCCCGACCTCTTCGGCAACTCCTGGCGCCTCAGCCTCCTCTGCCCCGAGGTGGACGGCGCCGAGGCGCAGCACCCCTGCACCGTACGGACGGGGATGGGGTGGCGGGGGGCAGACGAGGGGGCGAGCCCCGGTGCCCACCGAGGGATGGCATCTGACGGTGCCACCGGCCCCCCCAGGAGAGTCCCCACCGGGCGACGTGGGCGCGCAGGCGCTGCAGCGTCCTCCAGCAGCGGCTCTTCGCCCCGTGCCACGACGCGGTGCCGTCCCAGCGCTTCTACGACTGGTGCATCTTCGATGCCTGCGGGTAAGGGGCAGCGCCGGCGGCGGGCGGGGGGGTCCCGAGTATGGCAGGGGTCCCACCACCCCCGCCCGCCGCGCTCTGCCCCCAGCTGTGACTCCGGGGGGGACTGCGAGTGCCTCTGCACGGCCATCGCCACCTACGCCGAGGAATGTGGCCGGCGCGGCATCCACATCCGCTGGAGGAGCCAGGAGCTGTGCCGTGAGTCGCCATCTCTGTGCCTGTCCCCATCCCATCCCTATCTCCATCCTTATCCCCTTCCCTTCCCATCCCATCCCATCGCATCCCCATCCCATCCCATCTCCATCCTCATCCCCTTCCCATCCCAATCCCATCACATCGCATCCCAATCCCCATCCCAATCCCAATCCCAATCCCAATCCCCATCTCATCCCATCCCCATCCCTGCCCCAATCCCCATCCTCATCCTCATCCCCTTCCCATCCCCATCCCAATCCCCATCCCCATCCCATGGGGCTGGGATCCAGGGGCAAGGAGCAGCACCCCATGGCTGTGGGTCAGGGTCCCCCTGCCCTGCCCTGCCTGACACCCCCTCCCCAGCCTTGCAGTGTGACCGGGGGCTGGAGTACAGCGCCTGCGGCCCCCCCTGCCCCCCAACTTGCCGAGACCTCGGCCGGGACCCCCCCGAGCACTGCCAGGGCCTGGCCTGCCTGGAGGGCTGCTTCTGCCCCCCGGGGAGGGTCCTGCACGGTGAGCAGTGGGGTGGCGTGGGGCTGGTGTGGGGCTAAAATGGGGATGGTGTGGGGCTGGAATGGGGATGGAGTAGGGATGGTGTGGGGCTGGTGTGGGGCTGGAATGGGGCTGGAGTGGGGATGGAGTAGGGATGGTGTGGGGCTGGAATGGGGCTGGTGTTGGGACTGGAATGGGGCTGGAGTAGGGCTGGTGTGGGGATAGTGTGGGGCTGGAATGGGGCTGCCATGGGGTGGTGTGGGGCCGCTGTGGGGCTGCTGTGGGGCTGAGGCCTCCTCCCCTCCCCGCTGGCAGATGGCGGCTGCGTGGATCCAGCCGAGTGTCCGTGTTTCTGGGACGGATTCGCCTTCCCGGCCGGCGCCACGGTGCAGCAGGGCTGCAGGAACTGGTGAGTCCCGGCATGGCCGTCTGGTAGCCACTGGGCCAGCGTGGCCATCCGGCACCCACTGGGCTGGCAAAGCCATCGGGCACCCATCAGGGTGGCCCAGCCATCTGGTAGCCACTGGGCCAGTGTGGCCATCTGGCACCTACCGGGATGGCACAGCCATCTGGCACCCACTGCGATGGCACGGCCATCCAGGACCCACCATGTTGACAATGCCATCTGGTAGCCACCAGGATGGCAAGGTCATCCAGCACCCACCGTGCCGGCAAAGCCATGTGGTAGCCACCAAGATGCCATGGCCATCCAGCACCCTCCAGGATGGCAAAGCCATCTGGTAACCACTGGGATGGCAAAGCCATCTGGCACCCACTGGCCCAGCATGGCCACTTGGCACCCACCGGGCTGGTGACCCCGTGCCAGCGGGAAGCCTCTCGGTGCTGAGCCGTGACCGTCCGTCCCCACAGCACGTGCGTGGCAGGGGGGTGGCAGTGCCCACCCTCCCCGTCCCCCTGCCCGTCCCGGCCGGGCTGTGCTGCCGGGGAGTTCTCCTGCCGCGCTGACGGGCGCTGCGTGCCGGGGGCCTGGCTCTGCGACAACGAGGAGGATTGTCCCGACGGCTCCGACGAGCTCTGCCCCCCGTCCCCCTGCGCCCCACACCAGCCCCGCTGCGCCCAGGGGCAGTGCCTGGAGTGGGGCGCCCGCTGCGACGGCGTCCCCGACTGCCCCGACGGCTCCGACGAGGGGGGCTGCCCCCCAACCGCCTGCGTCCCCCCCGAATTCAGCTGCACCAGCGGCCGCTGCCTCCCCCCGGAACGGGTCTGCGACGGGGAGCTGGACTGCGGGTTTGCTGACCACTCGGACGAGGCAGGTGAGTAGCCCCACGGCTGCCCCACGGCTGCCCCACAGCTTCCCCTGGGGGTCCTGGGGTAGTGAGGGGCATTGGGGGTCCTGAGTCTCAGAGCAGTGGGGTGCAGCTGTGGGCTGTGCCCCATGGCAAGGAGGGCTGTGCCCTGCATCAAGGGGGTCTGAGCCCCCAACCCCAGCGGGGTTATGTGCCCCATGGTAAGGGGCCTGGAGCCCCCTCTTCTTTGGGGTCTGTGCCCCACGGCGGGGGTCCCTGGGGGTCTGTGCCCCACAGTGGCAGTCTCTGAGCCCCTTCATCCCGGGGGTCTATGCCCCATGGCAAGGCTCCCCGAGCCCCCTGTCCTTGGGGTCTGTGCCCCACAGTGGGAGGGTTTGAGCCCCCAGTCCTTGGGGGTCTGTGCCCCACGGTGGGGGTCCCTGGGGGTCTGTGCCCCATGGCAGGGGCTTTCTGACGGCCGCCTCCTCAGGCTGCAGCCCGAGCTGTGGGGCGGGCGAGTTCCGCTGCGCGGTGGGCCGGTGCGTGCCGTACCCTCGGCGCTGCGACGGCCGCGACGACTGCGGCGACTCCAGCGATGAGCGGGGCTGCCTCTGCCCCCCTGGCCACTTCCAGTGCCCCCACGACGCCCGCTGCTTGCCCCCGGCCACCCTCTGCGACGGCCACCCCCACTGCGCCAACGGCACCGACGAGGCCTTCTGCCCAGGTGAGGGGCCGGGGGGCTCAGGACCACCTTCCCCCCCCCCAAATGGGCAGGCCCTCCGCCCCC